CTAACGTTTGTAACTTGGGGACTGCCTGTACTACTCCTAACCAACAATGTGTTGCTGGCTAGAACTCTCCCTCTCCACTTTTGTCTTTTGGTGCCTTTTGGAAAGAAACTCAATTTGGAATTCTGGACAAGGGATACTTAACCTGCATTAGCTTCCTCAGGCCTATCAAAAAGGAAGAGAAAAACAGAACTATGCCACAAGGTGTGTGTATTGTGTGTGTAAGGCAGCTCATGCTCGTTTGCAGCACAAAGGAAGGGTTTGTGCTGCAAACCACTGGCCCCTTCCTGCCTGGAAACCTGCTGCCAGTCACTTTAAACAAGCGTTGGAAGAGTAGCTCCCTTGAGCAGGTGTGGCTATCAGGGCCCAAGGCCAGGCATACACTGTAGACTGAATGCAGTTTGGCACCGCTTTAATTGCCATGGCTCAGTGCAGTTGCAATCCCACCCCCCACTCAGTTTTTAAAATAATAAAGAAATTATACAAACCACACACAACTAACATTAACACAAAACATACAATAAATCAGTTAAACAATTAAACATATATTTCTATACATGTAATCTCTATGTGCACCCACCCATGGGACATATATTCATCTTTAATATTAATTATTCTTATATTGACCTCTTCTCCAAAATACCAGTGTATGTTGATTTGGTTTTATTCCCTTTTCTTTGACAAATATATATTCTATGAGAATTTGCCCCATATTACCTCAAAATAATTTCTCTTCATTAATCCCTTTGTACATTTTATTCCACAGATCAATTTACTGCTTATTGCAACTTTCCACACCTCTTTGTACCAATCATCAATATTGTAAGCATAATTTTATTTCCATTTTTGGCTATAACTAATCTTAAAGCAGTAAAAAAATAGTATTAATTCTACCTTTTGCCATTTTATTCCCATGTCTCCAAAATTTAATAGATTGCTGTATTTGGAAGTTTTTGTAGATTAAGCGATCGTGTCATTAATTTCAACAAATACTTTATCCCATTTTTTATCTTTTCACACTCCCGCCACAAATGTATGTAAGTCCTAGTTTCCATATTGGATCTCCAACAATTTTGTAGGTTGTTTCTATTCTAATGTAACATTATTGGAGTCATGTATCACGTACCATCTCCAAATTGTTTATAACTGTTCTCTTTGATTCTAATGGATATATATTTCATAATTCTTGTTTCCAATATTTAACCATTCCTCCTCTGTAATATTGATTCCTAGGTCCCATTTATTTATTTTTTTTGTTTTGAATTGTATTGGAGCACTTTCTAACATTATTTTATAAATTTTACCTATTTGTCCTTTGGCTACTTCATCTATACCATTCTGTTTTAACTGTATTATTAATTCTTCAAATTTTGTTAACTACCTGCATTTCCCAGGTTGTTTGATTTAATTCTTATTTCGTGAATCCAATTGTTGAACGTTATACCAAGATATTCTACTCTGTTTAAATATTCCTGTTATATTTTCTAGAAACTTTATTTATACAATCATCTATTTATTTTATTTAGGCAATTTTATCCCACCTTTACCCACTGAAGGGCCAAAGGCGGCTAACAGCATTTGTAAAATACGCACAATACAAACATTAAAACAATACTTAGTCTTGAAATATCACAATACTCCAGCTCTTTCCATGTCCTTTGTGAGTTGTCTTAAGGTTCTCTGGATTTTTTTTTAGATCTATAACTCTAATCAGTGGTGATCGGGGGCTCCTCCACTGAGGGGTCCCCTGGTGGTGCAATGGGTTAAACCCTTGCGCTGGCAGGACTGAAGACCGACACGACGCAGGTTCAAATCCAGGGAGAGCACGGATGAGCTCCCTCTGTCAACTCCAGCCTCCCATGCGGGGACATGAGAGAAGCCTCCAATAAGGATGGCAAAACATCCGGGCGTCTCTTGGGCAACGTTCTTGCAGACAGCCAATTCTCTCACACCAGAAGCGACTTGCGGTTTCTCAAGTTGCTCCTGACACACACAAAAATCAGTGGTGATATTCCAGGACTAAGGATTTTTTTTATGTCAAATGTATTTATTTATTATTTATTTATGATATTTCTATCCCGCCTTTCTCAGCCCGAAGGCGACTCAATCTGTGTTGTTGATCTACCAATAGGGTTCTTTTATTTCTTTGAGACATTTATTATTATGGGCAGTTGCAGTTTCATAAGATCTTCAGCATTCTCTGCCAAAAAGAGCCAAAGTACACCTGAGCCATGATAGTTAAAGTGGGCTCAGACTGTATTAATTCACCAGAATGGGTGAACTGTTAAATTATCACTGCTTGCATCAGCATCTACATTCCTTGGAATACTCCAATGCAACATGACTAAAATGATCAAGGGTCTGGAGAACAAGCCCTATGAAGAGCGGCTTAAAGAGCTGGGCATGTTTAGCCTGAACAAGAGAAGGCTGAGAGGAGACATGGAGAGTAGGACACGGAACAATGGCTTCAAACTACAAGAAAGCAGATTCCATCCAAACATTAGGAAGAACTTCCTGACTGTGAGAGCTGTTCAGCAGTGGAACTCTCTGCCCTGGAGTGTGGTGGAGGCTCCTTCTTTGGAGGCTTTTAAACAGAGGCTGGATGGTCATCTGTCAGGGGTGCTTTGAATGCAATATTCCTGCTTCTTGGCAGGGGGTTGGACTGGATGGCCCATGAGGTCTCTTCCAACTCCATGATTCTATGATTCACAGGTCAGTTAGAGACATTGCACCAATCCTTGGCAACCTTTCGGTCATACAACATACAGTTCAGTCGCCATCATGCGCTGGAACAGTGAGGAGCATGCTTTTGCCGTTGAGGCCTACTTTTTGAGCAGATTTGGAGTGGCTGGCCCGCTCTCCAGATTTGGACCCTTGTGATTTTTTTCTATGGGTTTTTTTGAAATCCCATTTATGTGAACCATCCAAGGACCCTACAAGATTTGAAGACCAACATCCAGGAAGACATTGCCAACATAATGCCTGCTATGCTGGCAAGAGTCATGACAAACACCAGGAATCGGTTTACTCAGTGTATGGAGAATGGGGGACATCACCTACCTAATTTGATCTTCAAAACTACGTAAAACAAAACTTTAGGTATGCGCCTACATTATAAAAAAAATCTAATTCATACAATGGGTTTTATTAAGTTTTGAAAAAAGGAAGTTATGCTGCCTCACCCTGTATTTGGGTTAGTTGTAATAGTCTATTCTATAATCTCTGAGTTCCCATTGGGGTGAGAAGGGCAGCATATAAATGTTGTAAATAAATAAATGGCATGTTTCTATGTGGTTGTAAACATCCATGAGTCTGTTTGACAAAGGCAACTATTTCCCAAATAAATAAAAACTAGAATATCAAGGCAGAAAATCCCACCATATCTGCTTTGAACTAGGTTATGAGAGTGCACACTGTCATATATTCCAATCAAAGCAGATAATGTGGGATATTATTCAGCTGTGTGGAAGGGCAAGTTATGCTCTGAGGTCCTTTCCACACAGCTGAATAAAACCCCACATTTTCTGCTTTGAACTGGAATATATGGCAGTGTGGACTCAGATAACCCAGTTTAAAGCAGATATGGTGGGACTTTCAACCTTGATATGTTGGGATTTTCTGCCTTGATATTCAAGGTTGTATGGCTGTGTGGAAGGGCCTTATATAGTATTATTCATTAAACCAGTGGGTCTCAACCTGTGGGTCCCCAGATGTTTTGGCCTTCAACTCCCAGAAATCCTAAAAGCTGGTAAACTGGCTGGGATTTCTGAGGCCAAAACACCTGGGGACCCACAGGTTGAATACCACTGCTTTATATGGTGTCTGTAGTAGTCTCCCAGAGTGTGTTGAGAGCATTAAAAGGACCAGGGTTACCTGAGGGCCCTTCCACAGGCAGAAAATCCCAACATATCTGCTTTGAACAGGGTTATCTGAGTCCACACTGCCATATATTCCAGGTCAATGTTGGATTGCATACCGATGTGTGGAAGGGACCATATATATATGGCCCCTTCCACACATCTCTCTCTCTCTCTMTATATATATATATATGGTCCTCTCTCTCTCTCTCTCTCTCTCTATATATATATATATATACATGGTCCCTTCCACTCATCTGTGTGTGTGTATATATGTATATATATGGCCCCTTCCACACATCTCTCTCTCTATATATATATGGTCCTCTCTCTCTCTCTMTATATATATATATATATGCCCCCTTCCACACATCTCTCTATATATATGGTCCCCCTCTCTCTTTATATATATATGGTCCCTTCCACCCATCTATATATATATGGTCCTCTCTCTCTCTCTATATATATATATATATATGGTCCCTTCCACACATCTGTGTGTGTGTATATATGTATATATATGGCCCCTTCCACACATCTCTCTCTCTCTATATATGGTCCTCTCTCTCTCTCTATATATATATATGGCCCCTTCCACACATCTCTCTATATATATGGTCCCCCCCTCTCTCTATATATATGGTCCCTTCCACTCATGTGTGTGTGTATATATGTATATATATGGCCCCTTCCACACATCTATATATATATGGTCCTCTCTCTCTCTCTATATATATATATATATGGTCCCTTCCACACATCTGTGTATATATATATGATCCTCTCTCTCCATATATATATATGGTCACTTCCACACATCTGTTTGTGTGTGTGTGTGCGTGTATATATATATATATATATGCCCCTTCCACACACACACACACACACATTTATATATGGCTCCTTCCACACATATGTACGTGTGTATATATATGGTCCCTTCCACACGTGTATGCAATCCACATTGACCTGGAATATATGGCAGTGAGGACTCAAGATAACCCTGTTCCAAGCAAATATGTTGGGATTTTTCTGCTTTGATATTCAAGGTTTTATGGCTGCGTGGAAATATCCGATTTCCCATTGTTTTCTGCCTGTGTTGCGTTCCTGTGGCGAAAGCGCCGGCTCCCGCTCCTCTTCCCTCACCGGGACAACAGGCCTCTTCCTCCTCCTCCGAGGCCAGGCGGCGGAGAGGCCCGCTTTGCAGCAACGGCTGCTTCCTCCTTCCAGCAAGTTCCACCGCAAATGGCGCGGAGTGAGCGGGCGAGGAGCCCAAAAGCAGCCCTTGGCATGCTGGGAAATGCAGTCCTCTCGCCACCGTTGCTAGGAAACGCGCAGAGCCCGCCTTGACGGGGAAGGGAGAGAGGGAGGGAGGCAGGAAGGGCTACCGCTCCGCTGCGGCGCTGAGAGAAAGGAGGCGACGACACTGCTGCAACCGCCACCACGCCCGGGCTACTACCTCACTTCCGCTTCCGGGCGCGCGGCCGAGGCGGAGGAGGAGGAGGCGGCGGAGGAGGAGGAGGCGGCGGCGGCGGGTCAGTCAGTGGAGCTAGCGGCGGCCTCTTCCCTCCCTCCCTCCCCCTGCTTCTTTGGAGTGAAGGAAGCCCGGGGTCACTACGGGGGTCCTTCCCCCCCCACCGGCCCGCCGCGGAGGAGCCGCTCCCACCGACGCCGCCGACGCCATGGAGCCGGAGTCGGTGATTGAGGACAAGACCATCGAGCTGATGGTGAGTGAGGGAAAAGGAGGAGGAGGAGGGAGGGAGTGGGGGAGGGGAGGCGGCCGCGAAAAGATTGGAAGGAAGGAAGGCAGGCAGGCAAGCCGGTGCGGCAGGCCTCGGTTTGGGCCTCGCCGCTCTCCGTAGCCCCCGCCATTATGAAGGAGGGGGAGGGGTCTCGCGCTGGAGGGAGGGAGCGCGCCCCCCTCCCCCTTCTCCATTTTGGTCGGAAGGCGATTCTTAAAGGGGCCGCCTCGAAACAGGCTCCTCTTTTCTCCCGAGGAGGAAGATAAGTTTGGCCTCTTTCTCAGACAAAGGCCCCTTCCACACAGCTGAATAAAATCCCACCTTGAGCTGAGGCCCTATCTACACAGCTGAATGAAACCCCACCTTGAACTGGGGCCTTCTTCTACACAGCTGAATGAAATCCCACCTTGAACTGGGGCCCTTTCTATACATCTGAATAAAATCCCATCTTGAACTGAGGTCCTTTCTACACAGCTGAATAAAGTCCCACCTTGAACTGGGGCCCCCTTCTTCACAGTTGAATAAAACCCCACCTTGAACTGGGGCGCCTTCTACACAGCTGAGTAAAATCCCACCTTGAACTGGGCCCCCTTCCACACAGTTGAATAAAATCCCACCTTGAACTGGGCCCCCTTCCACACAGCTGAATAAAATCCCACCTTGAACTGGGGCCCCCTTCCACACAGCTGAATAAAATCCCACCTTGAACTGAGGACCCTTCCACACAGCTGAATAAAATCCCACATTATCTGCTTTGGACTGGGATATATGGCAGTGTGGACGCGGGTATTCCACTTCAAAGAAGATAATGTGAGTTATTCTATCTTGATATTCTGTGTTGAAGGGCTGTGGATTACATGGCAGTGTGGATTTAGAGTCCTTCCAGACAGGCCCTAAATCACAGGATCTGATCCCAGGATCTGTGCTTATTCCAGATTATCTGGCAGTGTGGACTCATATAATCCATTTTAAAGCAGGAAACCTGGGACCAGATCCTGGGATAGAGGGCCTGTCTGAAAGGGCCCTCAGATAACCCAGGGTCCTTACACACAGACCTATATCCCCGAATATCAAGGCAGAATATCCCACATTATCTGAATATGGACTCAGATAACCCAGTTCAAAGCAGATATTGTGGGATTTTCTGCCTTGATATTCTGGGTTATATGGCTGTGTGGAAGGTCCCTCAGACAAAGAGAAAGCTCCCTGCGGCCCCCTCCTTCCATCTCACTGCCTTCCCTACATCCCCAAGGACTGAAGGTGACATTCACCTGGACTTGCCTGAGAAAGGATGCTCAGCACACAAAGCCCCAGTGTCCCCCAAAGAAGGGGGCGGGGCTTCTTTGAGCTCCTTTCCATCTCCGGACCTTTGTCATCTTCCCAGCTTGGCCCAGTCTGTGAGTGCTTCTCAGGATGGAACTAAGGCCTCTTCCACACAGCTGAATAAAATCCCACATTATTTGCTCTGAACTGGAATAATAATAATAATGATAATAATAACAATAATTTATTTATATTCTGCCCTATATCTCCTGGGGGACTCAGGCAGATTCCAATACACAAAAAGGCAAACAGTCAATGCCTCAATAAAAGTAAATACGAATATAAAAACCCAAGATAACCCCAAGGGCAACTTAAGCATGTAATTTAAATAAAACATCAATTGAAAGTTATAACCGAACTTGAACATTAAAAAAATCTGAATTACTATATCAAAACAACACGAAGGTTCACAAATGTGTGGATAGATTGGATGGCCAAAGTTGTTAAGTGGGCTAATGTGATCTAACAAGGCCCAAATACATGTATACTATCCAATAAACAGTCTGGCAATATATGGCAGTGTGGACTCTGATAACCCAATTCAAAGCAGATATTGTGGGATTTTCTGCCTTGATCTTCTGTGTTATATTGCTATGTGGAAGGGCCCCCAGACAAGCTCAGGATCTAATCCCAGGTTCTGCATTAAACTGGATTTTATGAGTCCTCACTGCCACATAATCTGGAATAAACAGACAACCTGGAATCAGATCCTGGAATATAGAACCTGTTTGGAAGGACCCTTAGCTGCCTTAACCAAGTGTTTGGGTTCCTCTCTCCCCTTTTGGATGGGTTGAATTATCTTTGAGAGCCTGTGTACCCTGCTTTCTCTCTCAGGGTCCTTCTACACAGCCATATAACGCAGAATTTCAAGGCAGAAAATCCCACAATATCTGCATTGGATTGGGTTATCTGAGTCCACTCCCATATATTCCAGTTCAAAGCAGATAATGTGGGATTTTATTCAGCCGTGTGGAAGGGACCTCTTAAAGGAGCCTCCCAATATGCAATGTATACCTTCTCCTACATTGCATGAGAATCCTCCTTGCCCCAGGCAGTCTTTCCCAAACCCAGCGTTTCCGCCTGTCGATTTCCTAACCGCAAGGGACCATTGTTCCGAAGAACAAGCTGCCTCCTGCTTCTTGGCTGAAAGTCGCAAGACGCCCACGCACCCAGAAAGCATTGATTAACGTGGAAAACATATTATTTCTTTTATTGGATCAATATCCCACCTTTTGTTCAGACTGTAGCCCTTTCCACACAGCTGTATAAAATCTACATTGAACTGGATTATATGGCAGTTTGGACTCACATAATCCAGTTCAAAGCAGATATTGTAGATTATCAGCCTTGATATTCAGGGTTATATGGCTGTGTGGAAGGACCCTGGGATAAGATAGGGAATGCTCTAAATACTAAGATTATTATTATTTAAAAATATTATGTATTTTATTGGATTTGCATCTTATCTTTTTCCCAGACTGGGATAAAATAGGGAACTGGCTAAATACTGAGATTAATTCTAAAAGTATTGTTTATTTTTATTGTATTTGCACTCTGCATTTCTCTTAGACTAAAGTGAAATGGGAGCTTCTCTAAGTGTGGAGATGCTGAGACTTGCGCCTCTCCTACACAGATGTATAAATTCCAGATTTTCTACTTTGAACTGGATTATCTGGCAGTGTAGACTCAGATAATCCAGTTCAAAGCAGAACATGTTAATTATCTGTCTTGGTATTCTGGATTATATGGCAGTGTGGAAGGACCCTCAGTTGGTTTAAAAAGTACTTCGGTTTTCTGTTGATAGCATCACCTCTCTATTAAAATGTAGTCTGTGGCCCCTTCCACACAGCTGTATAAAATCCGTATTGAACTGGATTATATGGTCATGTGAATTCAGATAACCCAATTCAAAGCTAATATTGTGGATTATCTGCCTTGATATTCTGGGTTACATGGCTGTGTGCTGTAGTCCTTTGCCTACTTAAATATGTAGACATGTAGCTAGCTAAGGTCTTCCTTCCTTTTTTTGTTACAAAGATGTGTTTTCAAATACACTAATAGCTGTAATGAGTTGGATTGGATGGCCCTTGTAGTCTCTTCCATCTCTATGCTTCTGTGTGAGAGCTGTTCTGTATAGTCCTGCAGATACATAGAATGTGATGCTTCTATTCCTCATGTAAAAGTCCTGAGTCTGATGGAGAAAGTCTGAACTGAAATGTCAATTTTATATTTGACTTACCTGTACATTACCTGAACAGCATTGAGAAACTGGAATTGTAGTCTTTAAATGTTGATAAACAAAATAATGTGGCAGAACTATTAAATGCATCTATTCTGATCTGTACTTTGTCTACAAAAGGGTGAAATATGCAATTTAGATCAGATTGTGTTTCTTTTGTTCATTGAGATTCTTTGGAGATTATTTTGGCTTTCAAAGTTTAACATGTGCATTATACGAAAAACAAGTATCTGAATCTGCCAACTCTTGGTGGGGAAGGTGTGAACGACTTCCCATTTTTCTTAAGGGAGGGGTTATAATATTGGAAGTATCACATGGAGACTCTTCTGTTGTCAGTCATTAATTCTTTCATATATACAAGCACCATTTTAATGTGAAGAATTTGAAGCATAAATATTTATGATTTTGGGTTTACCTTTACTATTTGAGTGTGTGAATACAATTCTTACTTAAGCAGTTTTTGTGCCATAAAAAGCATGTAAAATTAGTATTGTATGTTCAGTAAATACTAATCATATAGATATCCAATTTTATAGGGATTTTTTTTCCTGAATGCTTGATGCTAAATGTTGCTTTTTGACTATAAAATGATGATTCTGATCATCCAAAAGGACAGTAATAAGATAGCGATATGTATCATTATGGCACAGCAATACAGCTGGTCACTGTGATTTCCATAGATCTAGTTGTTGCATGTTTTCAGGCTCAATACACTATTCACTAATAGAGATGTAAGATTTCTTCATGTTTGGAAGCCACTGAAAAAACTATTTTTTATTTTCATTTCTTTTTGGAGGAAAAAAGGACATTGTAGGAAAAGCTGAAAATGCAATAGAAGCGCCCTTTACAGATTGAAAGTCATATTGCTGTAATTAGGACAGAACATGTATTATGTATGATTTAGTTTGGCATAACAATATCATGCCTGACATATTGCAAGTACAATTTATTGTGAATGTAATTACAAATCAAGCTTCCTTTTAAACTCCCTTTATTTTTATTTTCAAAGTATTATTTATTTTGTGTTCCAAATGGAATTACATGGTCCTGAACTATAATGAAAACTTCAACTATAAGGAGTCTTTTGGCTTTAGCAATTTGAACAGTTTGTGTATGTCTGTGTGAGTATACGTGCCTTCAGGTTGCCTATTGACTTACAACAACCCAAGCATTTTATGTCACCCCCCCCCCAAAAAAAAAAACC